GTACACTGCCCGTGGAGGACAGAAGAGGGCATCGGATCCCCTGGAACTGGAGTTATGGACGGTTGTTAGCCACCACGTTGGTCCTGGGGTTCAAAAGCCCAGCAAGAACACCCAATGCTTTTAACCACTGCACCATCTCTCCAGCCCCATACTGTGCATACAACAATCATGCTAACAAAAACAACAACTCTTGAGCCAGGTGTGATGGCCACACTTCAATCCTGGTACTCAGGATTGAAGGTAAGGCAAGCAGATCTCTGTGACATCCAGATGTCTGTGAGATCTCAAAAAAAAAAAAAAAAAAAACAAAACAATCACAATAAAACAAACAAACTCTTGTTTATGCTTACATGTCTTTTAATATATGGCATAATTTCTCTGCTCCAAGTTCTAATCTGTATATTTTAACTCCATTGCCACAACACACTACAAGGCCAAAACCATTATTATCCTACTTGTAGATGGAGAACTTGGACACAGCAAGGTTGGGGTCATTGCCAAGTGAGTGGCAGAGCTAGGACTGAGCCCTGACTGTCTCTAGAATCTATATTTTTGGTACTCATCCTTGTATCCAGAGCACATTTTAAAGTTTTATCAAGGAGGAAACTATGACTCTTTTTGCACCTGCTTTCTTCCTCAGGCAGGGGTTGAAGACAGTATCCTGTACTAAGAAATGACTGTTAGTTTAATAGGCTTAAAGTGGATGGATGTTCTGTGTGGCCATCTTCTGGCCCATCATCAGCTCTCTATGGCCTAAGCACTATCTCTCAAAGCAGTAAGTCTGTCCTGGAGGCAAAACATATGGTGCAGAATAGGAAATCAGACAAGAGATCATCTACCTCATAGAGGACCAAGTTCCTCCCAAAGAGGCCAACAGAGAGCAGAGGGAGCCCCTCTTCACATGCCTGTGTTGAACTGAATGCAGAGCAGTCAAAAGACGCGGCTTCCCACCTTCACCATTTTACAACTTAGAGCAAAAGCTTTTGGGCAGAGAGTCAGTGGGGGCTGACTGAAAAAGCAGATCCCTAGGCACAGACCACATCTGAGACACTTGCAGTGGGACCTGTAGGGTAGGTGGCAGGAGAAATGAGCATCCAGGCTGGGAGACTGGGAGGCACTGAGGTTCTGATGACAAAGAGCAGGTTGTGTCTGGGAGTGAATGAGGAAACCTCAGTTGGGAAAGCTGAGCTTGGGGACACAGCCCTGGGCTAGCTACACACTGGCTATTGGACACAGCAAGCCCTCCCAAGATGGGGAGTGCATTCACAAACACTCCAAGCCTTGGAACCAACTCTAAACACAGGTAGCCATGTGCCCTCTTCTGCCCAAGACAGTCCCAGCTTATTCCTCTTGTTTGAGTATCCCTGGCTAGTGATCCCTTTCATTCTCAAAAGCATCCTGGTTGGGGTTGATAAAGCACAACAGCACTTTACTCAAACCTCATTTTATGTAGCCTACCAGTATAGACTGTTGCTTCGCCATCAATTGTAAATTCCCTTGTTGAAGGGGACCTGGAACCTGGGTTATACATACTAGCCTAACTGCCCATCCGAATACCAGAAATATAAGCAAGGTTCAGTGCCTTTCTGATGAAAAGCACTACCAGTTTCTAAACAGTAACCTGACTAGCCTGCTCTCTTTGCTAGGCATGCACTTTACCACTGAGCTACAACCCCAGTCCTGATCTGGTCTTGCGAGTGGCCTTAATGACCAAGTCAGTGGGCTATGTAGGTGGTTTGACAAAACTCACATTCATCATGTTAATTAGAATTCTGAAGTTGACATAGTCCAAGTCCTAATGGCTGTTTTCTACTAGAAACCTACAAAAGTGAAAGGAGAGTGGAACAAACACTAAAACTTCCTTCTTAGGCACTGACAAGATTACTAGGTGCAGACCACTGCTCTCAAGTAATGAAAGTCTAGTGCGTAAGACAAGTGTCTCAATAAACACACTTCCTACCATTTTTACATGGAAGCTTAAATGCTTATTTACATTTACTTCCAGATTTAACGTTAAATAGATGTCTCAGGGCCCTTTGAGGAATCAAAATGGCTTATATAAATCCTTCACATCAAAAGATTCTGTGCCATTGTAAACTTTTATTTAATTCTATTGCCAGTAGAAAATATCGACGCAGCTTTGTCTCAGATTTACGTAAAGTGAAGACTGCAGGGTGCTGGTCCCACTTTATACATTTTAAGCACACAGGTCGCTTTTTCTACTGTAACCATCTTTGCAGGATCTAGACAAAAGAATTTTCTAAGGAACTGGGGTTTAGTGAATAGAAAGATTCCTTTAGAGAACCATTTGGAAGACTTCTAAAAACCCTTTTAGAAAACATGATGTGCTCTTGGAATCACTTCATCAAATCTGAACTGCATTTGAAAGGGAGGCCGCCACAGTGCATCACAGCCATGTCTGCCTGGGGTTTCCTTTCAGTTATTTAAATTCTGCAGTAGTTTAAATAGTAGACTCCAGTTGCAACTAACCTATTTATTGCTGAAACTGTTTGATAGGCTTGGTGAGACATGTTTTGGGCTCTTATCAGGTATAGGACCCTGTGATGGCTCAGCTAGTGAATGGGGTAAAATGTCATTAAAAAGGATTCACAATAGTGGCCTTTGAGACACTCCTTACAAGATCACAGGATTTTAACAGGGAAAAAAAATGGGCATGATGTGATAAGAATGAAATGGATTCCAGGCACAAGGGCCAGCTGGCACCAAGACTCAGGAGAAGGTATAGGAAACATACCAGGCATATCGCTGGACAAGAGAGGAAAGATACAGGAAGTACCCAAGTGTCTCCATGGGTAGAGCAGTGATTAAACCACTCCTGTTAGAGCAGACTGGGAGAAGTTAGGGGCAGAAACTACTTTAGGAGAACTTTGCAAGTGTTCAAATAAAATACTAATAATACGGTACAAGGTGGGATAATCACAGTGGAAAGAAAAGATATTTCTTTCAGGTGGGGACTGGGGATCAGAACCCAGGGCTTGCAGAAGCGAGATAAGTGCTACTATATCCTCAGCCCCTGGAGAGGTTTGATAGGGTTCAGGTCCAGGTGACCCCAGATCCAGAAACAATAAGGCCCCTAAGAGGAACTGAGTAAACCAACTTCCAGCCACTGCAAGCTGACAAAAGCAGCTCCGGAATTAGTGGCCTGATGCATTGTGACCACCAGAGCATGCTCCACAGGCTGACAAACAGCTTTCCCAAGCCTTATAGTTGCAATGGGCCCTTGGAACCCTGTAATTGTAGAAAACATGTTTTACAGTAGATGTTTTCCTCGATAAGTTTCACCAGGTACAGACCCCACGCCCTCCCTGAACAGCCCCCAAACAGCAGAAAAATATTCTCTTTTTCCACATTCTGTCCCTTTATAAGCTACCCCTCTGCAGCCATTAGGCTGCTGGTTTCACTCACTCCCTAGCTGAGACCCAGCCCTGCTAACCCCAAAGTAAACTCTCTTTTCCAGAGTCTTCTATGTCTCTGTTTCATGGCGATCCCAACCCCTGCCACCTTTTTTATCTAACAAGGTTTCTCGTTTGTTTGTGTTTGTTTGTTTGTTTGTTTGTTTGTTTGTTTGTTGAGATGGGGGTCTCACTATGTAGCCATGACTGGCCTGCAACTCTCTATGTAGATCAGGCTGGCCTGGAACTCACAGAGAGCTGCCTGCCTCTGCCTCCCAAGTGGCCTGTTGCCACCATGCCCATGGTTGGTTGGTTTTTTAAGATAAGGTCTTGCTATGTAGCCCTGGCTGGCCTGGAGCTCACAATCCTCTTTCCCTGCTTCTGCTTCTTCAGTGCTAAGATTAAAAGCTTGTACCACCTGGCCCTCTTTGGAATAGGTTTTTTGAAAACTATGATTCCAGTTTCTAAGACTTGGAAACTGTTAATGTGTGAAGAGCTCTGAGGAGCGGCTATTACTTGAGTGGTCTGGTGCTTTGAGCCTAGACAATGATGGTGAGCCTATGGCAGCAAGAAAGCTACCCATGCCAGTGAACAGAGCGGGAGTGTACTTGCTCCTGATACCTATCCTGCACAGGGTAGGAGGGGAATCGTGGTGGGCTGAGGCAGAAACACATCTCTCAAATCTACAAATACTTATGATTGTGAGGAATTCTTTGTAGAATGGATGCAGGGAAGAAGGAAAGAGGTTAGGGGCTGAGAAGAAGGCAGACACGGGCCAGTGACTGAGGAGGGTCCTGAGGGAGCCATCACAGGAAGTGATGACAAGGGAAGCCACCAGAGCAGGAATAGGAGAGGGCTGTGTCCAGAGAGGGCTGTGGTCAAAGGCCTGAGGCACAAGAACAAGATAAGAGTCAGGAAGGAACCCACCAGAGTGGTAAAACCATGAAACAAGAAAGCAGAAGTGTCAAAATCTCATGAGACAATAGCCTTGAAATACCAAGGGACAGAGGTGAGAAGAAGCCAGGAGAGAGGCAGTGTGAGAATTCCTGACTAAACACCCATTCTGTGCTGCGCTCTATGCTGAGAGTTCACCAGTCTTGCTATGCGTTTTACATCTGCTAACTGCTTTGCCCAAAGCATGCCACAAGGAAGCAGCAGGCAGGACCTCTAAATCAGTGAGACAGCCCCCACACCCAGGAGCATGCTGACATACTCAGCCTCCCGCCCCACCGTGGAGGGGGTAGAAGCCACATCTCAATATCTGGAAAATGGAAGAGGCTAGAGACACATTTATTACATGTTCACCATGGGCCTAGAACCCAGTTCAGTAGGAAAGGTGGTGCAAGGGAATGTGAAGCTCGCAGCAGCTGTTTTGCCAAGGGTTAAGTTAAAGGGACCTTAATGCTCTGACTAGAACATGAAAATCATTTCACACAGCAGAAACTTGCATTAAAATGACCAGCTTTAGACTAGGACTTTACCACTCTAACACAATGTTAACAAGCTTTTCTTTCCTTATAGACGGAAATATTAATTCCTATTTATAATATATGTGTAAAAGTATTCATGCATCAGAGTTGTACATACTTTCTTGAATTCCTTGCCTTTTTCTGCTGAGAGTCCGATATTTCCTTTCAAAATGATGTTTAGTTCTGCATTGAGGGAAACAAAAGGAAAGTGGGCTTTGAGAACATATAAGCCAGCAGGAGAAATAAACACCAAGCATCAGGCGCGTTTTCTCAGCCACAGGGTGTTTTCATGAGGGGAAGAGAATTCACACTGTCCTTCCCAGAGAAGAGTCTTTCTCCTGAGCCACAGCAGCCTCAGTGAAACACGCTTAGGCTTCCCAGGGGATACGGCTAGCTGTCATGTTTGTATGCCTCTTAGACACATAAGCAAGCTGGCTGTTTCTGGACATCTGATTTCAGTCTAGCATCACCCTGAAAACCAACTATGAGCTCTGTGTGTCCCTGAATATCATGACAGGAAGTAGGACTTTCTGCCTCTTTATCTGAAACAGTACCCTGAGGAGGGAAGGCCAGAGGCTTTCTGAGTATCTTGGGACAGCCAGCAGTGGAAATCAGCCCATCGTGCCATGTTGGATGTAGGGAGGACTCTGTGCTGTTACACATTCAGTCCAGTTGCTTGTGTGCTGGAGTGTTTTCTTTTGATGCTTCACTGTGTAGACCAGACTGGCCTCCCACCCAAGGCTTTCCTGCCTCAGCACCCCCAGGATTGCAGGCATGTTCCAACACACACAGATAATGTGGGATTTTAAATGATCTAGCCAAACCAAAAATATTTGGGAAGTTTGAAAACAGGCTGGAGGCTGGATATGGAGACACAAACACACACACACACACACACACACACACACACACACACCTATAATCCCAGCACTCATGAGGCAGGGACAGAAGGATCACTGCAAGTTAAAGACTAGTCTCTTCTACATAATGAGTTCCAGATCTGCCTGAGCTGGAGGGCAAGAACCTAACTCACACACTTCCCCTCAAAAATTAAAAGAGGTTGGCTAATTAAAGCTGTATACACCCCCACAACCAAAACAATGAGTGAAAATCAGAAAAATTTAAGTCACTGGTTGTTTGTGTGAACTAATGGTCTGCTAAGGTTTAGCACTTCCTGTTCCCTGCTCTCCTCCCCAGTTCTACCCCAGCATCAGGTGTTTCTGGGACCCACCCAAGGCCAACTGTCCACAGGATGACCCCACATCAGCTTTTGTTCAAGTCTCATTCCAGTGATACTCAGGGCTGTGAGGCTTCTGATAAGAAGACTTAAATTTAAAAACACAGTTCAGTCCTCGCTGGAGGACAAGGTTTTGTACCTGGAAGCAAGCCCTGGTGGTTAATAACCCAGGACTTCATGACACGAGTAAGGCTGAAGCAGAGCCTCCACCTCTGAACTGGAAGCTGGCAGCTGGTGGACCCAGTTAAAGTAGTCAAGACCACCAACAGAAAAACCAGTTTCCTCCAGTCCCAGGAGAAGCACACCTCTGTGGAGGCTGCACACTGGGAACTACTAGAGAGGGAAGGAAGGGGGCCCTTTGCTGGAGCTGGCCACAGCTTGGCTCTAGGCTCTGACTTCATGGGCAGCTCTGAATAGTTTCTAGAGCTAGAATAGATCTTCTCCCCACGGCAGGAAACAGAGGGAGAACCAGGTCTGAGGATAGCCACTTGTCCAGGGGTACCCTTATGCACACTGACCAAATCTTGCTGTCCTTTCAAAATGAGGCTGACTGTGCCCACTGGGGAAATCTCTGTGCCCATCCAATACCAAGATTATTTTCCCCCAGAGGGCACTTGTATTGTTTAGTTGAACTGTTAATAAGTATGTGAAATTGTGCTTTTATGTAGATCAAACATGGTCCAAAATAAATTAATTCCATCAAGTATAGGCTATGGGGTAGAAAGCACAATTTTGAGAACTAGACCTTGGTTCAAGTCTCAGTTCTGTTACTTTTTTTTGTTGTTTCTGTGTACCTGGGGCAGTCCTCAGGGCCTTGTGCATACCAGGCCTTACACTGAGTTACATCCCCAGCCCAGCCAGTTCTGTCCCTTTCACTCTCAAACATACATTGAATCCTGCTGTGTTACTGGACAAAACGTGTGGTGAAGACAGGTGGCCCTGTTCCTCACAGTACATTCCAGTGTGTCTTCATCTTCCAGGGCCACATCCCAGTGATTTGGTATTGGGCCAGTTGCTCTACCTCTCTGGCTTCAGCTAACTGTTGTAAGGGTTAAAGGGTATGGTACACATCCAGCCTAGAGTGCATGGGTGGCCTGCAATAGTGTTGTCTCCCTGTGGCTCACAGAGAACTCCTAGAAAATATTTGTGGGGATCTCCAAGGCCATCATCCTAGAGGAACCTAGAGGAGGCCAGAAAAAAGCTGCAGGTTCATGATTTATGCCACTCTAAATGTGCAAGGTCATTTGACCCAAGGCCACTGAAGCAAAGCCCAGGGATCTGGAGACCGCTGCCTCTATCTTCTCATCCTCATAGCTGCTGTCAGCAGTTTGTGTGTGATGGGTTCGGAGAGGTACAAGATAGCTCATCCTTCTTTATAGGCATGAAATTGTTTAATCCAAAGAAAATCATGGTGCAAGTTAATGAATTAAGACAAAACAGAAGCTAAACCCTCACGGAGGGTGGAAATTCACTGATAAGAGATAGTTTTAAGGAATCTATACACAGTCTGACTCTAATTAGGTAAAGGCTGTGCCAACTGGCCAGTCTTTCCCCAAACTTCCTACACAACTGCTTTGTTTCTTCAGCAACAGGCATTGCCTTTCACATTCTTTCTGCTGCCCAGGGGCTTATTCTATAGGCTCTGTGTGCAGAGAGGGCCGTGTGGCTATTCACAGATCTGCATGTACACCATTCACAGCTGTGTAAGTCACGTTGGTCAGGGCATTAATAAGTGTGAAACTGCCATCTGGCAGTACAACGAATGGTGGTACCTTCACTCTTGTCGCTGTCCTCGGCTTCATCCGACTCTCGGTGTCTACTCGTGACAGGTCGTTTACAGGGTGGTGAGACCAACAACTCCACTAACTTTTTTTCATACATTTTTCTGGTGGAAGCTGAAGAAGAACAAACTGAATTGTCCTACATTGTATATATGATCCTACTGGGGTCAAGTAATTTCATAATGTAGTCCCTTATTGGTTAGTTATGGTTTTTAACAATGAAATAGACCCTATAACAACTCAAGTCACTCTTTCCGTTGTAAAAGCAGATAATGCCTCTATACATTAGCCATAGTGAGGTACTGGATACATTTGAGAACAAGTTGGGCATGGTTGTGCACCCTGTCTATGAGGCATGTTGACATAAAAATTTAAGGCACATACAAAAAAACAAAAAGGGGCTCAGCAGTTAAAAGCACTGACTGCTCTTGAAAAGGACCTGGGTTCAAATCCCAGCACCTACGTGGTGATTAACAGCTGTCCGTAACTCCAGTTCCAGGGGATCTGACACCCTCTTCCGACCTCCATGGACATTGGAATATTTTATTTATTACTTCCATTCTATGTATATGAGTATATTGCCTGCATGTATGTGAGTGCACCCATGTTGTGCAATGCCGCAGAGGTCAGAAGAGGGCATCGGATTCCCCTAGAACTGGAGTTAAGGACGGTTCATAGCCACCATGTGGGTGCTAGGAATTGAACCCAGGTTCTCTGCAAGAGCAGTCAGCTCTTAACAGCTGTGCCATCTCTCCAGTCCCAAATAAAATATTTTTTAAAAAACAGCCTAAATAATAAACAAGTGACTTCTCCATGCTGAAGAAACAATCCCCCTCCCTGCATTATATTTACTAATCTGTAAGAATATGGGGCTATTTATTACCTATTCCCTCTGCATGGCTTTCTGTTTTCCTGTTTATATTTTTAATAGCTTTTATTGCATATGTTCCTTCTGCTATAAGTTATTTTAAACTTTGGAGGCAGGCTGTAAAGAGCAAATAAATAGTCCTTAATACTAACTGTAGACATACGTAGTATTGGGCCAGGTGAAAATCCAAGCTTCTCAAGTTGGTTGTGCAATTCACAGTCAGTCAGACACTGAACACCCACCATAGTGATAGAAGTTTGGCCTCTTTTCTGACAGTGGATCCTTGAAACAGGAAAACATTAAATTCATTAAGACAACTTACAAATAAGTACTAACACTAGCTTCCCTCACAGTCCCATCTCCCCACTGTTGCACAAGTGAAAAGGCACATCAGCCACTTCTGCTTTCTGCCAGGGGCCCCACTGGGATTAGTGGCCTTGATGCAAAATTTGGGAGACTCAGTTTACCCAAGATTTTTGAGGATCAATGATTTCTAACTTTTCTACTCAAGTAATGTGAGAAAAGGATAGAATGAACAAAAATATTTCCATTATTGCTCATACTCTGAGTATTACTCAAGCACCCAGGGGATACAAAGTTAATTAAATATGAAAGAGGTAAGAGAGATTTTCTTTTCCACTGAATTAAATAAAAGTTATTTATCCCTGTTCTCCTTTTGATGAGAGTACAGAGATTCAGTCACTGCACACAGGAGTAGGTCTCACGTTTGCTGTTTAATGAGATGTGGTTTTTAAAGAATTAAAAGAATCTTTAATTATGTGTATTCTGTGCATGTGCATGTGTGTGTGGGGGGGGTATTGCCACAGACAATGGTATTGCCAGTGGAGGTCAAAGGATGACTTGCAGAGTTAGTTCTTTCATTCTACCATGTGGGTCCCAGGGATCTAACTCAGGTCATCAGGCTTGGGTGGCAAGTCCCTTACCTGCTGAGGTATCTCACCACCCTGAGATGGAGGTTTTTAATTAGGCACTGGCAGACACTGTAGTTTTGCTGAACTGGCATTTGGAAAAAGCCAACTCAATTCTTTGGCACACAAATTGATTTATATAGATTTGTATAAGCCTTGATATGTCTTTCTAAACCTGTACAGCCTTGAATTCGATTAATTTTATCCCAGTTATCTCTTGATCCCCTTGAAACGGATCTCCTCACCCACTTAACGACGTCCTGGGAAAGGCAGGGCCATTTAAACGGGCTTTCTGTGCAGCCACTTGTTTATTGCATCTTGTTTCTATCAGGTTTCAAGGCTTTTTAATACGGCAATGAAAATAAGTACTCAGCTTGGGGAGATCTAGTCCAATTTTAAGAAATGAGTTTGCTTTTACTAGTGTTCAATCAATGTCCAATTAGGAAGAATGTTATAAACAAGTTAGAAAAAGTCCAGGATTGTGACCTATGATAATTCAGGAACGCTGGCAATTTTGTACTTCAAAGCTATGCTTCTTTTCTAGCACATAGTAACACCGTAGGTCTTGATTAATGTTAGTTTCCCCTTCTCCATGTGTTTGGGAAGATGGAGCACAGCACATCAGAAAACTTAATGCTGGGAGGAAAGGGGTACTGTGGTTCAGCAGCTCTGATTTTTTTTGGGGGGGGACTGGAGGCAAACGGGCAGATCCAATGACATTTGTTCCAGAGAACAGCTGTCTGTTGTCTCTCTAGCTCCCCAAAAATAACCTTCCAAAGAACTCTCATCAATTTCAAGTGACGGTTAGACAATTGCCTAGAGGGAACACACATATGGAAGACAAATATTCAAATGGAATCCAACCGAATGATTAATTCACTCACCCCTTCACATGATTGTCTGAAGTCTATGCAATCAGGCTGGCTACTCAAGCTGGGTGAGTTTCACCCAGGGTTACCATGAACAACTGTCCCCTCTTTGCCTGTCAGATATTATGGTAATCATAATACTGACAGTGTGACATCAGCAACACCCAGCGACAGATTGATGGGAAAATGGGATGATGAATTTAAGCTAAATCCAAAGAGTAGGAGGCACTGGCCAGCTTCAAAGGTAGACTGCCATGGCAAAATGTGAAGAGATTCAGAGTTATCATCAGGCACCAGAAGTAAGGAGCCACACAGGACCAAACTGAGAGAAAAAAGAAAAATCAAACCAGCATCCAAGCCACCATCAAAGACCCACAGTCGTAGTCATCTGGCATCTACTCTAGGGAAACAAGAAAGTAGAAGAGACTTGGATTAATGTATTCAGGATTTTTCAGTTAAGAAAATAAGAATCAGGGGCTGGTGAGATGGCTCAGCACTGGCTGCTGTTGCAGAGAACTCGGTTTCGATTCCCAGCACCCACATGGTGGCTAACTGTAACTCCAGTTCCATAGGATCCAACACCCGCTTCTGATCTCCGCAGACACTGCATGACACATGTGTACTTACATACATGCAAGTAATACACTCATACACATAATTAAAAATAAGTAAAAATATTTTTTAAAAAAAGAAAACAAGAATCAGGAGCTGGCAAGATGGATCAGCAGATAAAGGCACTTGCCTCTAAGCCTGACAACCTGAGTTCAAATCCCAGGACCCACATGATGGAAAGAATCAACTCTTGCATGTTGTCTGTTCTCTGATCTCCATATGCAAGCTGTGGCATGCAAGTGCCCACACATACATATGCAATCAACCAATCAATCAGTAAATGAATGAATGAATAAATAAATAAATGTTTAAAAAGAAAGAAAAGAAGAATCAGGATAGAGGGCATATCTATAATCAGACAATGCAGACATTTGATGGTTTGGGCCCCATTAAAACTCTCATATCTCATTCCATCCTCTGGATGCCCTACAGGCAGCTGAGACATAGGTTATCATTACATTTCAAAATGTAGATCTTAGGAACTAGAGAGATAGCTCAGCAGTTAAAAGCACTAACCATCCATAACTCCAGTTCCAGGGGCTCTGACAGCCTCTTCTAACCTCTGAGGCATTGCACAACACGGATGCACTTAAATATATACAGGCATTACATTCATACACATTAAAAAAATAATAAAATAAAATATTTTTTAAAATGTAGATCTTGGTGTTGCTTTATTTTAAGGAAAGATCCGTCACAGTGCTAGCTGGAGTCTTTCAAGAAAAACTGCTACGATTTTCAAAACAATTATGCAAGACAAAATGTAACTGTGAGAAAACACAGTGTGTTGATTAAATACCAAGAAAAGGGAACCATCTGAAAGCGTTTAAGGGAACAGAGGAGCCAGCCTGCCTAGAGGCAAGTACTACCTCTGTCCTTTACCAGCTGGTGACATGGGGGCAACCATATCTCTTTGTCATCTGCAATGACAATAACAATACTTGCCCTATGAGACCGACAGGAAGACTCAGTGAGCTATGTGCACAGAGTACTTGGCATGTTTCCATTATTCTCATGAGTGCCAGCCTCAGTTTCCACATCCAGTTTCCTCCTCTGGAGGCTCCATCCCATTTGCACTTACTCATGCAACTCCCTCAGGCCTTTTCAGATCCTGGGAAAGAGCAAAGCATCTTGGGGTGGGTGGCTAGAAAGGCTCACAGGCTGTGGCTCCAAAATTTTGAATAGAGTACCAGTTTCCAAACATGTGATGCCATCATTTTCCAACATCCAAACATTGGATTCACCAAACAAAGACTTAGAAAATTGACACATTTGTTTCAATGAAAACAAATGATAGGCTTGGGTTATTAGGATGCGCAAGCATTTTGTTTACATTTCCCAGAACTGCTTTCAACAAAAAAAGCAGCCAGCAGGTGGAATTGGTTCCATTTTAAACAGTGAGACTGTTGGGATGAAATAATCTTTTTTTTTTTTCTTTTTCTGGTCTTTTTTTTGAGACAGGGTCTCCCTGTAGCCCCAGCTATCCTGGAACTCACTATGTAGACCAGGATGGTCTTGAACTCACAAAGACCTGCCTGCTTCTGCGTCCCAAGTGCTGGGATTAAAGGCGTGCGCCATCACGCCCGGCCAAAATAATCATTTTTATGATATTTTCTTGATCAAACCTCTGGAACTTAAAATCAACTGGATTAGGAAAGGATTGGGCCAGATGATCTCAAGTAACATCTATCTCTAGGCTGAGCTCCCTGTTCTGAGCAAACCTTTCTGTCTGAAGCTGCTCTCGGGAAGCTCCCCTCCTGCATACCCAGGATTCTTTTGTCAGCATTGTTCGGTTTAAGAATGCCTGTACTCTGTGTAATCCTGAACTATTTGGCTTCAATGTGTGTAGCCTTTCCCTCGGTTTTATCTGTGTAGTCCTAGGCATTAGCTTGTTTTTGTTTTTTATTCTTTCCATAGCTGCAAAGACATCTTGAGGACAGCAAGTTTTAATTGCCAATCTACTAGGTATTCAACATGATAAGGTATCTAAATCCTGAGAGCTTCTTCCTTTCATTAAAATGTAGATCCAATTTCTCTTCCCTTAATGCCACATGCTGTTATTAAACCGAAATAATGGAAATAGTAAAAGCCAGATGTCACTTCAGTCTCAGGTTTGATATGGGGCACAATTTCCTCTCCTCAGGTTTAATCTGCCAGTTATTTACTAACCCCATCCTTCAGAAGAATGCACAATTTAAATGTAAATGCAATTTACATAGGGGAGCAGATAGTAGATTTGTAGTTTCAATTGCCAATAACCATTTGCAAAGGGGAAATCAGCTAAAGCAAAGACCAGCAGCTGTCAGCCTCAGGTTGCATCATTCACCATCTCAGTTCTGTTCCTGAAGCCACCTGCTTCAGAGCCTCAGCTAGGAGATGGAGAGAGCACGCAAGAGCCGCTAGCCCTGGTGTTCTGAGCTGAATTTCCCACTCTTCGGAAAGAAAGGGTGGACTTAGGTTTTAGTGAGCAAAGCCCAATGCCATCACTTTTGAAAATCTGAGCTGACCAATTTCTTTCAACAAATATCTACCGTCTCTTACAGAGCAGGCATGATGCTTGGCCTAAATCAAAGAAAGGGAACGAGGACTACAAAAATGGAAAAGTATCTTTAAAGAGTTCAGCATCTCACAAGAGAAACAAATACAAGTTATTACAAGAAAATAAGAGAAAGTATCAACAGGAAAGCCTTTAAGTGTCATCCAGGCTGAGACTTCCAGAACAAGCAATAGTATGCTCCAGCATAAGGGGCTGAATGACAGCCAGGAGGGTGGTGAGCAAGAAGGGAAAGCAGTCAGGCAGCACGGGGCCAATCTGTGGAGGACCAGTGGACTGCACCAAGCAACACA